TAAATATTACACATAAAATTGGCTATTCTGAATCTCCATTGCTAGGTAGTTACTCTGTATTGCTCAGAATTTCGTCTTCTTACAGAAATATAAATTTTTTCTACCTTGAAGGAATAATTAAAACTTTCTTTAATCAACTCTTCCCTGTAAAACAAAAGCGAGAGTTACCCTGTATTGCACTTTCAGAATAAGGACAGTTCTATCTGTTGTTATATGAGACAGCCCCATTTTATAATGCTTGTTTGAAAAATACTGCTATAGTCAGTCCCCGGATTAAGAATGTCCAACTTACAGATAACTCCTACTTACGAAAAGGCTGCCTGTTACTGAAAATGGTGGACGGTGTTCTCCTTCCTTGAGCCAATGAACTGCTGAAGCCGTGTGGTGTTTTGATGAACCAATGAAACTGTGCATTTTTAATATACAGCCGGTTTTCAGTGGTTCATGAAAACATCACACGGCCTCAGTGGTTCATCAGCTCGAGGAAGGAGAACGCCATATGCCATTTTTAGTAATAGGCAGCCCGTTTGTAGGTACAAGTTCCAACTTACATACAAATTCGAGTTAAAGACAGGCTTAGGAATGGAACTCATTCTTAACCTGGGGACTCCCTGTATTTTGTTAACTCAGCTTTAAAAGCTTTGCATATTCCATCACAAATCCTAAACTGGGGACAAAACTTCTGAAATACAATTATCAGTAATAACTGAAAATGATATTTTATGTTAAGAAGCATCCAACAACCTTTATCAAAGGAGTAATGATTTTAAAAAAATACTAGCATCAGAAAGGCACACTGTTGGGGGAGGCATAAGTGTTGACTTTACAAAATGGCAGAACATCAGTGCAACAGCAATACAAATGTACACATTCCCTCTATCACTCCTTAGGCAGCAGATATACTTATGTGACTCAGTTGATCACCTCAGATGTGTTTTCCTTTGTATCTAGACAATACAGCCTAACTGTGACATCGTGACAGTTCACTTGGAATTCTCCTTTGTGGACCTCATATACTCTGCCTAAGCTAAGACAAAAGCAGTACAGAACTACTGTATTATGCATATCCCAAAAGCTTCACTTGTTTTTCTAGACCAGGGAAGAAAATGCTGTGTGCCTGGCCTTTTTGCCCATGTGCAAAACATGCCCCAACAATGGCTCACAACATATTCTCTTCCATTATATTTGTTCCATTTACCAACAGTGAAACATTAACCAAATGTTGATTTTCCTTCATCTTAGAAACCAGTTCCTGTTTTCCTTTTTTTTTTAACCTTCCTGACTCGGTCTGTTGGTTTGTTCAGTTCTCCTATAACTTGTGACAGAACTGACAAACAGCTTTTAAGAACTCATATTCTCTTACATTTTCCTCTCCAGGGGTTGGGAGAGGTTAGCCTTTTGTTTGGTGACACAAACAATTTTTGCAATGTGATATTTGTGGTTCATCAAGGGCCAAGCCCATCATTCCACATTTTATTCAATAATACATCCTATCTCTGATAGTATAATTGCATGTGAGGTTTTACATTTAAATACTATAATTCCTTAATTTCTATTAGTTCATTTCATGAACAAGAGATAAATGTTAATCAAGTGGGTACCTAATATAATAATATTCAGATCTCAACAGTTCTAGTTAAGAAATCAAAACAGTTACGGCTTCTGAGAGTTTTCAGTTAAACAAGCCTGCCTAAATGTAAATCAGAATAATTCATTTGCATATATTTTACGTTCAAAGGTTTTAAAATAATTTCTTAGATAAATATCCAGAATTTTATTTCTACAGTAGTAGATTTCACTATCATTCTTTAGTGCCTATTGACAAGGTTTTATTTACTTACTTGTACCAGCAAAAACTTAATATGCTATTGATATAATGAAAAAAAATATTTTTGATGTAGTGTTTCCATTTTATGCACACAGGGTTGAACAGTGCACACCCTTGGCTTAACAGGAAGTATCATCAAAAATAATGAGACCTCCCATGCAAAGAACTGCATTGTAAGGTACAATTGTTCAAAGATTTTTAGATCCATGACATGCTGATTATCTACAATACTTGTAGGGCCCATAGCCACCCCCTCCCTGATGGTTGTCAAGCTCACAGCCCCACCTGACTTTATTTTTTTAATGATTTCAGTACATTAATAAATGGAAAGCAGATAGGCTTTGAAGTAAAGCTCCATCTTCCATCTTATTTGCAATTTCCAAGAATGTTTCTAAGCCCCAATAGATCCTCTCTTTATTCTTCAATGCCTTTCCTTGTGTGATTGATAGACAGATATTGGCCCCACCCACACTACACAATAGCCAAAATGGGGATACTACAGACTACACCAAATCTTTCATGAGAGGACTTCTACTTGCACAATACAACTCCTTCCACTAGTTTACTACAATACAACTCCATCCCAATAGTTTACTATTTCTACATCATGTACACTAGACACATTTTCTCTTCTCTTAGCACTTTTTTTTAAATTGAAGTCCATCCTCTGACTATATTAGCCACATCAATATTTCAGCCTGCATCATTAAATAATGGCTGAAGCTTCCCTGAAAACTTTACAGAGGGAGGTTCTGGCATAAGTAATCATCAAAAACTACTCGTTCTTTGACTGAGAAAAACCTAGATATGCAAAAATTGAAAAGATGAAGGCCGAATACAAAGCATATTTTCTAAGAAGCAAGAACAAATTTAATTTTTTTTTTACATTAAATAGTGCTATGAAAATTACTCTTTTTTTCAGTGAAAGAAATATTTTAGGTTCCCACAGTACCTCCTAAGTAAGAGGCAAAGCTTATAGGGCCTTTTAAACCTCTTTCCAGTGACCACAAATAAATAAATAAATATAATAAAACTACTCTAACATTAACCATTTCCTATGGATGTTGGATGAAGAGGGTAGAGGAAAAATTGATTTGTTAACTTTCCTGTGTGCAAACAGACTTTCAAAAAATGAAGCAACTCTGCATTATAGAATGTATAATTGGCAAAAGACAAACTGCATTTAAGGCACAGAAAGCTGAATGTAAAGAAGAGGTAATGGAGAACATGATGGAAAAGATATTTGTACACTACTACACATATTTAATCACAATAAGCCCCACAATGTTTAGCAGGGTTTGTTACTCACGCTTTTAGGACTGCTATTTGACTGGCAAACTAAAAGAAATAATACACGCTCTCAATCCTGGAAATCACATTATACATAAACCAATTTCAAATAACCACCCCAATTTCTGCTTCTTTATTCCCAGCCGCTAGAATCAAAATTCCTTAGAGTGGATTAGCTACCCCTTTACACATTTAAAATGAAAAATGAAAGGATGGCTTTTCCTCTTTTAAATTTAAATAAGATAAAAACCCACAGATAGTCCTTAGGCAAATAACCCCCAAAGTATGTAAAAATTCCCACTTCATCAAAACAATAAACGGCAGGGAGGGCGACATTTCCCAAGCAAAGGAATGGCAGACAAAAATGTAAGGATTACTTAATTCGTTTCAAGTACACCTTATTAACCAACAAGAACAAGTAAGTCTCCGTTGGCTACGCCTCCTCCCTGCGTTTACTGCCAACCTATCTCTGCAGCCGCCCCGAGGAAGGGGGAAAACCCCATTGAGTCTCTGGGGTCCAAACAGGGATGCCGCCCTCGCCGACCGCCATTCCCATTTCTCCCTCTCTGAACCCTTTCCCCCCTCAGCCCAACCCCATTGCTTGAGGAAGAAGGAGGCCGCAGGACCAGAGAGGAGAAGGAAAAGGGTTACCTTGGCGCCCCGAGCCGGAAGAGCCGCGCCGCAGAAACCCCCGGAGGCACTGACAGCTCCCAGCATGCCGAGCGGCTTCCTTCTTTCCTCCTCCCCCCCCCCGCCTCGCCTGACGTTATGACGCCACCTGCCGCCGCTCGGAATTAGCACAGCTTCTTCGCGTGGAGCCGGGCAGCGATTCCAGGTAGCCCCTTAAAGAGAAAGCCCGCTTCGAGGCGGGTGGGACGGCTCCGTGCCGTTTTCTTCTAGGCAGCAGCGGTCCAGAAGCGGGTTTGCACCTTCTGAGACTCCCCCCCCCCACTTCCCAGCGTATCCTGGAGCTGAGGTGGTTTCCCGCCTGGCTTACTACTTCCATGCAAGCGGGGAGAGATGCAGGCTAGCCTAGTCCCTGCTGGGATTGATCTGCCTTGCGCGCGAGGAGGAGTCTATTGTCCCCACCGCGCGACTATGTGTGCTCACGTTACGGGCCAGTCTAGGGTTACGTCGCATGACCTGCAGAGTATTCTGCAGCTAGAGCATGCCTCTCGGTTGGAAACTAACACGTAAATCATGAAACCGGTTATTTGTTGAGATCCGTTCCTTTCTCCTTAATTTCTCGTAATCGAAAGCCCTGCCGCCCTCTTCTGAACGTGGATAGGGTATATATCCGTAGTACTAAACAGCCACATCAGATAAGCATTGTTTGGATGTAACCCAACCTGTAAAGCTTGTAGCCATGCCATAGGAAGCCACAGTTTACAATCGGCTGCACGCTGATCCGAAAGCAATTGGGTGCAAGGCGTTGGGTAATTCAGCACAGGACTGCAAACTACTAAAGCTGTAGAGAGACTGACTTCTGAGTAAACGTAGAGAGGATCGGACTGCAAGCTCTTCGGGGAAAAGAAATCAATCTTCCCGCTTATTCTACCATGGAGGAGGGATGCGAGAGACAGCGGGCAAAGACATCCATCAATCATGTCAAGCGGGCCCGGCAGGGGATACAAACCCTGTTAATGCGCAACCCTCTTTCGTAATCTAAGTAGTCGCGATCTCCTGTAAGAGGATGCCACAGTATGACCGAGGGCATCTTCGCGACGATTAAAAGAGCTGTAGAGCTTTTTATTTTTTTCCCGGCTGAGTCCGGGACTTCTCTCGCAGAGGGCGCTGTGTGAGACGGGGCTTCTCCTCTCCGCCGAGGACCTCAAAGCGCTTCCGGGATCCAATTTACTGCGTTTTCTCCGAGCCACGTGGGTGCGCTCCTTGCACGCTTCCGAGCCTTCTTGCTTTCCCTCGGCCTGGCCCTGCGTCGGAGCCGCTGCCTGCATGGAGGCTACTCTGTTCTTGGAGATTAGGGAGAGGATGCAGAGCGGATCGCTGATTATTCGGTACCTGACTTACTTGCTTTATGTCTGGCTTTTTTTTTCACCCTCCATTTCCCACTTTGAGAGAGGCATAACCGGGTTATGTTGTGTTCCATCTTTTCTCCATGGAGGGAACGCTTGTCCTCTTAAAGGCCCGCTTTCAGCTTTCCACTTTCCGTCCAGGGACGGCGGTGACCCAGTTTAATATTTTCGCAAAACTTCTACAGCATCCCTTTCCACAGCGTAATACATTAGAGGTGAATATGTGTAGCTCGGGGTTGAACTGTGGAGTCCTTGGGGTTCTCTGAGCTTGGTTCTTTTCTTGCAAACG